CCCTGCCCCTCCCCATTCCGACTGCCACCCTCTCCCCCCCCCCTCCATTTGTCAAACCTGCAGAGGCATTGGAAACAAACTGGTGTTCAGCAAGAGTGTGGATGCCTGCTGGGGACGGCCCGAGTATGTCAGATCTCTGGAACACGTTCAGGCTCGCCTCACTCTCTCGCACCACCACAGAGGAAAATTGGCCATTCATCTCATCAGCCCGCTGGGCACCCGCTCCACCCTGCTGTTCCACAGGTACACAGTAAAAAAAACCACACAGCGCACCCTACAGCTGGGACCTTAAAATAAATCTTACTCTGTCTCAAACCCACACAGACACAGACACACATCGCAGCCGGCCATTGGGTCATCTCTGTTCTTTGTCCCTGTGTGCGCCTCACTTTTATTTATTTACCTCTATGGTTACGCTACCTGAATAGGACAAACACTCAAAAAGAAATATGTTGCTTTTATAGAAGTGTTGACTACATTACCCTCGCTACAGCGTTGAATCACGCTGGATTGTTGGATAACAATTGAGTTTGTGTTCGGATGATCTTCTACATGCTAAGACAGCAAAAGTGAGGTCAGTGATATTGAACTCCAACGTGTAACCTTATAAATATATTGAGATAAATCCAACACAGTGTGCCTTCACAAATATGAGTACAAATTAGAAACAAGTCTTTACTTTAGGGAAGTGCTTTTTTTGAATGTGAATGAAATGGAAGGGACTGTGTCGTGGATGAAATAATGTATTGCTTTATTTTTGCTATTGGGTATGGGTGCTGAAAGCAGGAGGAACATACAGGCTGACTGATAATCATGTCTGTGTCTGGCCTTTTATTTCAGACCCAACGACTTCTCCTCAGAGGGGTTCACCGACTGGACTTTCATGACCACCCATTCATGGGATGAGGATCCTCAGGGGGAATGGACCATTGAAATTGAAAATGTAGCAGCTAATGGACATGACTATGGTAACCCCACTCAACCTGTGCTAATGGTTCCACGTAGTCTCAGTCCTGCATAGTTTTTGTTTCTACTAAAAGCCTCCCCTCCCTTTTTCTGTCCAATTTGCTGCCCGTCTGGTAGCAGGCAGAGTGGCTCTCAGAAATAAATCCAGATTAAAACCCAATAGCAGCTGGACAAAGATGGATTCCCTGTAAATTCCAATCTTGTAAAAAAAAACAAAAAAAAACCTAACACAGACAATTTTCTTTGTTCCTAAAAAACAGGCAGATTTTTTTGCTCCTTCACACAGCTGTGCTGTCTTATGGTGTTATCCCATTGATCTTCTGGTTTCCTTAAGACTTGTTTATTCAGCGCAGTGTGAGGAGACGAGACAGAAACACATTTATTTTTCTGCTGCTTATAATCATTTGTCTCTCTCCTTCTCACCCACCTTCATGTGTATCCTCCTTCGAGCTGGTTTGCTCTGTTATCTTATCAGCGAACAGCTTAATAGACACACTTTTCCAGCCTCTCACACACTTTTCTGCGCCTTGTTTTCTCCCTCTTTCTCAGGTTCTTTGAGGCAGTTTACTCTAATCCTGTGGGGCACTGGGGCCAGCGACATCAACCCCGCATCATCTGACTTTTCTCGTCCATCAAACAACAGCTGCAAGACCTTTGACGCTCAGCAGGTCTGCATTGGTAAGGTCATTTGTTCATTTGCATTGTCGCAGTTCCGTTCCTATGATGCAACATTACCCTTTTTTTTCCGTAAGTCAGAAGTCACATACATCAGGACCTGTGTCACTCACTGACACTAACACAGTGGTAACATCATAATCTAGGACATAAAAACATCAGAAGAGTCTGACTTTACACCTGGGAGTCATAATGAAGGGCAAACAGTTCCCATAAAAACAACACAAACCAAAGAAAGTCAAAGTCCCATATTTTAAAAGTCACAAAACTTCACGACCCAAGTCAACAGACATTATTCGTAAACTCCTGGGAAACATGATGCGAGATGACCCAAAAAAAATCTCTTGCGACCCTCTTGAGGGTTGCGACCCAGTCAATGGGAAACAAGGCAATATATGACCTACAACCGGCCAAAGTAAAAGCCGTCCTCCATGTACAGTGCTCGTCCTCTCCGATAGCCAACCAGCTCCCATGCGAACGCCAGGCGTCAGAATAATGCAATGAGTCCACGTTTGAAATAACAGCTTCTTTGAGGAGAGTGAAGTGATTTCATATTGGCAGCTGCATTCAGTCACCTAACAGTGTGCTGATTATTTTAACCTGAGAAGAGTGAGTGAAGTGAATACTGCTGCACGGTTGGCCAGCTGCAGGTGTACACTGTGAATTTGCAGGTTGCCATATGTTCTGTTAGTTCAAGTCTGGAGGAGCAGCAGGGGAGATGAAGGAGGTGAAGAAGACATGGTCAGAAGCTTCTCGCTGCTGCACACCTTCAGACTCCTTCACCAACAAAGTCATGTTTTTCCCTTTAATGGCATCAGATAATTTGATTTGGATTCAGTAATTAATAAACTATTTATTTATGAAAAACACAACATTTAAAGGGAAGCAGCGCCCTCTAGTGTTAAAAAGGACAAATCAGCTGTTCTGGTTGGAGACTTGGAGACAGAGTCAATTTTAATCCCGATGTTTATCTTCATTAGTGGTTCACAAACCTTTGTGATTTTGCAGCGCCCCCTTTTGTACATAGGACTAGTGTAAAGCCCCCAATGTTGAAAAATTCAGAAATGTTGAGTCAAACTTTTTCACTGAACCTTTGTTAAAACATTGTAATTACTAAAAACTGATATTCTCACCGAAAAAGAAACAAAGTATAGATCAGTAGTTTTTCCCACTGTGTCACAAATAAAAAAATTGAAAATAAATTAATTTTAATCTGCAAAAACGTTGCGCCCCCACTGTGAGGACCACCGTTCCATTTCCTGAGTCTTTTCATATCAGTAGAAATGGAGTTTCACCTTCTGCTCCTCCCTCACTCTCTCTCTCTCTCTCTCTCTCTCTCTTTCTCTCTCTGGCCAGAGTGCAGCCCTGGCTTCTCCCTCTTCCTCCAGGGTTGTGTGAAACTGTGTCCTCCAGGCTTTACCTCTGGGCTACAGCTCCTGAACCTCTCCCTGGAGAACTGGGTGGACCTGTCCTCAGTCCTAGCCTGTCTGCCGTGCAACCCCTCCTGCCTGACCTGCTCCAGCACCGGACCTACAGACTGTTTGTCCTGTCCACCTCACAGCCGCCTGGTCCTCACTTCCTGTCTGCGCCAGAACCAAGTCCAGCGAAAATCTTCTCCTCCAGATGGGCTTCAGGGCGAAGCAGTTCAGAAAGTTGAGCAAAACCCTGCTACGACAGGGAGCGAGGAGCCTCCTGGGCTCAGCGTCGCTCCGTCCAGACTGCTGCCCACCGTCGTCGCCGTGCTCAGCTGTGCTTTCATCCTGGCTGCCTTTGTCGGGCTGTTTTTCTTTCTGCAAATGCGTTCTGGTGGGGCGTCTGTGGGCTGGAGGACCAAACTGCCCTCTGTGTTTTCAGAGACAAGGGGAGTGCGGGTGGGTTTTGGTTTAGAGTTGGGCCAAGGACAGGGGAGGAAGACAAGAATATGCTACAAAGGGATCCCCACCGTGTGGGGGGAAGAGGATGTGACGGCGTACGAGTCTGAATCAGACAGTGAGGAGGTGGACGGTCACAGTGAGAGGACGGCTTTTATCAAGACGCAGAGTTACAGGTAGCTGAAGCTGCTGTGACTAGTGAGGAGTGGGACCATGTTGTCTGCTAACAGAGACCGTGGTACAGAGATGGTAAATGAAGGAGGGTCACACACCGGCCTTAACATCAGCTCCATCAAAGGCTCCATCTCATATGTAACCAGTTTTTTCATTCCACTTTTGATATGTATCTGTCGTTAACAGAAGGCATCGCCACCACCACTTCAAGATAGACACATATCAAGGTAAGGTAAGGTTTTTTTAATCACTGTCCAAAATTGGGCTGTCTAAATCATCGGTTAATGGCAGTTATTTATTTGTAAAGATTGCCATGATGGCCTTCCTTATTACACACAGGCAAAATGAAGCTCAGTGTATATGTCAGAATCCCCCCGTCCATCCACGTATTGTTTCCCTAACGTCAATACACGTTAGTAATACAGACTGCAGGAAAGAGATGTTGTTGTTTCACGACCCTCAACCTTAAAGTTTCATCTCTCCCAGCATGTGTTTGTAGAAGCTTCACCTTTAGGTAAGATACCTGGCGTGAGTTAGCGCAGCCTCACCGAGCGAACGACAGTTAGTAAGTCCACGACTGACGAGATGACTGAGAATGCTGTCAAACTGATCGTTGAGGATGACTCTCAATGCGTTCAAGATAAACAGTCATGACTAAAACTCTTAGTTTAGGGTTAGGTTCATGTTTTTTTACATATTAATAATTTATTATTAATTAATGAACGAGGGTCAACGATTTACGAGGTGCACGACCTACAGTGTCATCTCCGTGGTTATCTCACCATCTCCCATAAATGTATTAAGAAAGTCTTGTGCGAGTGACGCAGACAAATGCGTCATCACACGGTAACATACGCATAAGACAGCTTTTGTTTACATTTGCTGGTTGGACGCCACACATTGGATTTGCTTTCTTTCGTTTGTTTTCTTTGGGAACCTTTTGCCCTTCATTATGGCTCCCAGGTGTAAAGTCCGAATGTTGTGATGTTTTTATGTCCTAGATTACGATGTTACTACTGTGTTAGCGAAGGTGAGTGACACAGATACTGATGTGAGTTCCCTGCAGTCGCCATTAAATTCAGGTGTGAAACACAGACACAGACAGACATCTACCTGATGTTGTTTGTTTTTGTGTTTCAGCAGTACACATAAAAAACGTTTTGTCATTTTAGGAGCGTTGATTTATCTCGATTAATCATGATTCATTATGATTAATCCACCGCTACCTTGTGTTTGTGTGACTGTCCTCGTCTAGAATAATTCTTCTATATTTGATGGATATAATTTTGGTATGAAGACCCAGTGCGACACGTCCCTGATGGTGTCGTCACTTCTTTCACTCTCTGTGAGTTCACTGAAGTGCACGGAGTTCTGTTGAAATTCAAGAAAAACAGACGGCCCTTTTTAACCAGTCTATTGTTGGCTATGCATATAATTTGTCATCGCTGCAGTCAGTGGATCATCAGAGGTCTAATAAACAGCCCCTGTGTTCTTCACTCCTGTCAGATAGAAGCCCAGGGGCCGTGAACTTGTCAGCGTTCATTAGCAGAAAGAATACGTAAAGTCGGGATTTATGCATCTGACTGGAAGCGGCGCAATAAAACCTGCTGCAGACTGTTTGATGAGCAGGGAAGTGCAGAGGAGGCTCCTGTTTTCAGTCAGAGTTCAGTGGAACCTGCCACTGAAGCGCAGACATATCAGATAATAAAATCTTTTTGAGTTAGTGCGGAGTAAAACTTTGAGCACATTCTTCAAAAAAAACCAAACAAACACTCTGGGGCTGACCTTTAAAACATTACTCTGCTTGATAAAGATCTGGTAAAAAATGAGTTTGTCTTCAGTTTTGTCACAGAGTTTGTATCAATAACCAGAATGTTCTCATCAGGCCATGTGTTTCTGCTCCGCTGTGTTCATCATAATATTGACAAACAAATACGGAAAACGACAATTGCGTCTCATTTGTTGTACAGGATTGCCAGAGCGATTGTGGACAAAAAGGAATTGTATCGACTTTTCTACATTTGTTTTATATCCTTTTTTAATTTAACTGACAGTGGGTGTTAATATTGTGAAACTACAATAAAAAAAGACTTTGTTGTGTATCTGTGTGTATCTCTTGTGCCTAAAGGGCTAGAGTTGTTGGTGAGTTCTACTGTAGCAGGTGAGTTCTCAATGTAAATAATTGATTTATTGCAAATAATATGCCTTTGTTTTTATGCAGCAGTGACAGACCAAAGGATAAATTCTCTTTCACTGGGAGGCAGCAGATGGCTATAAAAACAAAAAGGGAGGGACTCAGATATTGAAGGTCTTTGTGTGATTTTTTTCAATTCCTACGATTGTAACAGCATTGTGTTCAACTAAACAGGCTAAACAGGTTTGCTAACTTGTCTGGTGCCTGGTGTAATCAGTGTGATCACCCTCACCTGTGTCTCTGTCATCAGTCTCACTGGTGTCACCTGGTGCCCTGTGTTCTGGGACACAGAACAATGATGGCACAAAACAACGACCAAGGCACCAACACTACAGAGTAGTTGTTGTTCTGATCTTTGTTCCTTGTTCTGAGTCTCCCTCGTGCTGCATTTGGCTCCTACCTGCTCACACTCTCACACACAGGGCACAGCACATGAGCGCATTCCAGCCAATACAATAATCAGGTGAATATAATCTTTTGATTATAAAAAAAAATCAATAATAATGTGCTGAGGCATTTTTCAATATAATCTAAACTGACCCGACTGCTTTGTCGTGGTGTTGGAGAAGTGAAGTCACATCACTTCACGTGAGTGGAGTCACTGCTCGTCGGCTGGGGCCGACACCCTAAGCTACCTGGTACAGGGCACTGGCCGCTCCCCTCTGTCCGGTCACAGTTGTGGAAAACAAAAGTGGTAAAATAGTTCAATCTAAAATTCTTCTTGTTGCTGGATTTTGAAATAATAAGAGTCCGCTTCTTGCTTGTAAGTTGTTATTGGTCCAAAATCCTCTTCTACAGGCAGTGCAGGGTCCAGGAGTGAGTCCTTTCTGCGTCTTCCTTTTCCTGCGCCCTGTATTTATACTGCAAAGTGTTTTGTAAAAAACATTCTTTTCATATGATATTGTTTTTCCACTGCCACTGTGTACCTCCGCTCTCTGGCCTGAGTCATCTCCGGAAGAAAGTCTCCCCCAGACGTCTGTCATTGAACTTCCCCCATCCTCCCTAACCTCAGCAGTCTCCACTCCTTTTCTAGTCAGATCCATGTTTCAGTTGTCACGTTCTCATGAATAACAGCACTTCAACTTTCACCTTTATTTGATCATTTCTCACGTCTAAGAATCACAATGTCAATCAACAACATTTCTTTCTTTGTATTGTGATTTAGCTATAAGCCCTTCTCCTGCCTTCTGTCTTGAACACAGTATTCTCTGGAGTCGGGATCATTCTTTAGTCTGGTCAGACACTTTCTCTATAGGACGTTACCGGGTAAACATAACAAATCACACATTTATTATATTTTATAGTTATGGTTTGATTCATATATTCATCATTTTTCATAATCACTTCATAATCTCAACTATTGTCTTGTACTTTATTCTAAGTCACAAACTCATTGATCTCAGATATTTTCCAAACCGTGACTCCAGTGCCAGGTGATTGGGGCAGAGGAAGTGGGCGCGCAGACGATCTATTCGTCAGTGTGTGGCGTATTTAAGGGACGGACACCGAGGTGTCGGTGCCAGTGTTTTGGTAATTCGTGTTTTGGTAACTCGTGTTTTGGTAACTCGTGTTTTGGTAACTCGTGGCCCTTCTTTGGTAACTCATGGTTATTGGTGCATATGAACCTCTGTGGTCGTTTCCTTTGGTTTCAGGGTTTTTGGATTGTTATGATCGGTTTATTCACAGGGAGCACGCTGCACTATCAGGGATATCCAACAATAGCGGCTGACCAACATTATCGGCATGATACTAGCGTAATTATTTAATATCTGTAAGAATCATAATCAGTTTTTCTTCCTATAATGAAAACTAAATAACGCAAATGACATGTGCCCTGAAAATAGTTTTGGGGATAAACAACTGTATATTAAGTGAAAGCCACTAGATGGCAGCATTGCAGCAAATTTTAATTAATTGGTTAAAGTGGTTTGTACAGATAAATAAATAAATATTACCAGGCCTTTGTCACTATTGGTTGATATCGGAATTAGAAATTAAGTGTTTGGATAATATATTTGATATCGGCAAAAAGTTAATATCGGACATCCACACTTTTTTCTCTGTTATAAAGTCACATTATGAGGACTTGCTGTTCGCACATGAATACGTCTGTGCATGTTCGAACAGCCAGATATGAAAATATAGAGATGCATTAAAAAAATAAAGCCAGAGAAAGTGATGCACATACAGTACCTTCCATTTACATCATAAAGGCCAGAGAGACGAGAGGCAGCCAGACGTCTGCTCTTAAGGTCATGAAGGAAATGTTTAAACTTCGACTTAAATGTGAAGTTACTTTTCTTTTTTTTCAGGCCTTTATTTTGCAGTTACACTCCACGTCCTCAGTTTCCCGTCTATTATCTGTGGTTTTATATGAAGGCTGAGAGAGACAAGCATGAAGGGAGACGGTAACGATACGATGAAGTTGTAAATTAAAGGAAAGATTCAGAATTGATGTTGGTTTTGCCCGACGGAACCCGTTTTCAGATAAGGGAGCAAACAAAGGCGGAATAATATCAACATCAACAAACAAACATCACCAACTACGGCGAGGCCACTCGACCAGCAGATGTTCATTACTTCCACACAGTGCTGTGTTGTTGGTGCCTTCATCAGCAGCAGCAGCAGCGTGTTCTGTCCTCCTGCTGTCCACTTGCAGTCAGCTGCTTCAGAGTTAAGCTTTTAATCTCATGAGAAATAGGAGTTTGGTATGTTTGCAGGAGAACGGCGTCGACTCTGAACTGTAACAGCCTGGTTGATTAGCCGTTCCCGTCCTCTGCTGAGGCTGCTCGCTGGGTTTGTGGATAAATGTGCTGTACACTCGTTCTGTGGCGTATAATTAGATCTGTAAGGGGACCTGCAACACAGCTCAAAGCTTTTTCTCTCTCTCTTTCTTTTTACATGGTTTAAAATGCCATGAACAAAGAGTCCACACTCATTATTCCTGTAGGTCAAGCATCATTTGCGCCGAGTCTAAATCTCAAGGAGAAATGCAGCCGGCACTCTGTTGTTCCCCAGAGCAGATGAAAGGTCGAGAACAAGCAGAGTCAGGAGTTAACATAGCGGGTCAGGGAGAGAGAGAGAGAGAGAGAGAGAGAGAGAGAGAGGCGGTCTGAAGTGTGCCACCACAGGGTGATGCAGTGCACCGCCAACACCTTCACAGCTCCTCCACACATGCAGAGCGGAGCTCAGCGTCAGGCCCGCGAGCAACTCTCCATCCCTCTCTGCAGACGTCTTTGATACGGTTTTATGCAGTGTGAACAAAAACAACAACTTCTTTTATGTTTTTGCTACTGATGTGTCTTCAAAAAACATCTTCAACTCTCAGGGGGGGACACAGGTAAAAAAACAAGCTTCTGTTGGAAACATGACGGAGTGTGTGCTGAGGCTCATGTCTGACTGACTGAGGCTTCTCCATGTGGGTGACCAGTCCTGACGAGTGAAGCCCGGACGCCTCCAGACTCGTGGCTCTGGAGCCATGTTGCACTAATTAGTTTTCCCCAGAGATCAAATAATGAGCAGCCATGGGGGTAAACATGCAGAAGAACCCTATCCCCCAACCCCGTTTCACCCCCGCAAATACACCTCCTCCACACAAACATATATAGGCTTTTTCCCAAGGCACAGTGTGTGCAATTTTTTAATGTGTATATACACACANATTGAAGTGTTGGTGACACTGGTGGAAGAGCAGAGAGTGCGACTCTAGCAGGTCTGGTATGGTAATGTCTCTGTAATTAACAATTCAAGAGTATACACCGAAGAATGGACCATTTAGTGGGTTAGAACACGTGTCAAACTCAGGCTCGGGGGCCAAATCTGGCCCGCAGTGTAATTATATTTGGCCCACGCGATCATATCAAATGTGTACTAGAGTTGGAATATAACCACTATATACTGGCAGGATTTGTAGTATTAGCAGTGTATGCGCTGTTATAGCACATAGCACATGTTTTTTTGTTGTTGTTGGCCTGTGAAAAAAACGATTTGCATTAAAAAGGAACTGGGAGGTCTACAGATAAAGAGACTTAATAAGAAACAAATACCAATGATGTGTGTTTTATTTCAAATTTAATTTCTCATGTGTTTATATTATTAAGCTTTGGTTGTTCCAGATTAAATGTTTATGTAAAAAGTTGGTTTCCATATGAAAACAATCTACATTACAGATCTGGAGAGTTGCTGTAAATGTTTCCATAAAAATTGAGTTCTGCATCCCAGTTTTTAATTTTGGCCCACTGTGAATTTGAGTTTGAAACCCCTGGGTTACCACAAAAGTTTATAAATTATTGAAATAATTTTATCATGAAAAGGGTCGTTTGTTGAACAGTCACAAAGTGGACGTACGAACTGCATACAATACAGTTTGATAAGTAGTAATGGGTACAGGAGGAAAAAAGTTTTTATTTGTTTTTTTTTAAGTAATAAATAAAATATAAATGAACAAAAAAAGATTGAATGGTACTGCTACTAGTACTAGTAGCAATATCAGTAATACACGTACCAATAGTAATACCATATGGTGTTCCTGTGAGGTCGTCCGTCTGCCTTTCCACCTGTTGGTGGAGTTAATCAGTGTGATCACCCTCACCTGTGTCTCTGTCATCAGTCTCACTGCTGTCACCTGGTGTCCTGGGTATATAAACCTCTGTCCCTCACTCAGTCTTTGTTGAAGTCATTGGTCTGTGGTCATGTGTTGTGTTTGTTGTTTGTGCTTAGCAGTCCATTCCTAGTTGTTTATGCCTAGTTGTTTATGCCTAGTTGTTTATGCTTTGTCTTCCTGTGACCAAGTGAATGTTTGTGATTTTTGCACTTTGTAAATAATCCTCCTACACCTGAAGAGAGTCTCCATCGTGCTGTGTTTGTATCCTGCCTGTTTCCTCTCTGTGAAAAATTCTAACTTTTGTTAGAGATTGTTACTAGTGTAACCAGTGGTATTACTACTGGTACAAAAACCTGCACCATTGCCAGAGCTTTATTCCCCTGGGCTATTTCACCATGGAGTATTTTGTGCAAGGAACACACACTATAAAGAGCACATGTAAATAGTGTCCTGCTAGTGTGTGCAGGTTAATTAACACCCACAGGTGTTTGCGCAGACATTTGTAGATCTGAAGTGATGACATACTCAGTGCCATTACATACTCTGGGATTTTTGTGTAAACAGATACGATGTGTACGCTCAGACGAATTGTACACACACATCTGTAGACACCTGAAGTAACAGATTTCCAATTAGACATGCAGGTTTTATGTCACAGCCATCATTGTTCAGGAAATGACTATGGAACAACACAGAGCAATGTTCAAACAGGACTGTCATTGTGTGATACAGAAAAAGTTTGCCTTTTTTTTCTTAATTATCGCAAACACCTTATAGCAGTACTTCTCAAATAGTGGGGCGAGCC